AGTGGTTGAGTCTCCATCCCTGGAGGTATTTAAAAGACGGGTAGACGTGGTGCTTGAGGACATGGTTTAGTGGTGGACTTGGTAGTGATGGGTTTACGGTTGGACTCGATGATCTTAAGGGTCTTTTCCAACCTAAACGATTCTATGATTCTATGAAATCTCTTCCTATAATTCAGCTGCCTTTTAGTACCCAGAACCAGTCCCAATACCCAGCCTAGCAGCTGGTCAGTCTTACTTGCAGACCTACACTTATGACTTGCTAGTTGTGGTCTATCTCTTGAATTTATTAATTGATTAAATTCAGCTATTTTGCTCTTCTCTGTTAATCTAAACCCAAATTGAGCTCTGGCTGGGCAAAAAGTCATCTTTTTTCTTACATATTGGTGTACAACTGGCTTGCTTTCAGTCCTATGTAATTTTCCCTTTGCTCAAGGGAACATAGGGTTCCGTAATTATGTTTGCACATCGGCGTGCGAGATATGTGGCTCTATCTGAAACTTTTGCTAAGTGCTTTGAAAATTTTTAAAGTATTGGTTTGTGCATTGCTACCCATTAGAAATTTTCCTGAATTTCTCTGGGACAGGGAAGAGGGAAGGGTTTCATCTGCTCTCAATACAGCGATGTTGGCTAAGCTTGCTCCCCGTACAGGACAAAAACTTGGTGAAACTTCTGCGTCGCTGATAATATAACACCCTGTCAGGGGACTGGGTGGTTTCAGACGTGTATCTCCCTTCCCGGGCCTGTATCTGTAATTCCTGACTTTCCCCTGCTGTATCCCATCTGTTCTGCCGTGCCATTTCCTTCCCTGTTATGTATTCATCATGATGGCTTTCTTAAAAAACAAACCAAAACAAAACAAAAAAAACCTCTAGCGTGGGGGGTTGTGTTAGCTGAGAGACTGATCCGCTGATGCGTCAGCTGCCTGTGCTGCCTGCAGGCCGTCCTGGCAGGCAGCGTGGCCAGGCTGGTGGCAGTCACTGCAGGCAACTGCCCTTTGTCCCCGGCGTCGATCGGCGAAGGCAGGATCCCGCTTTCCGGCACCACAGGCAGCGTGCTTGTGGGTAAGTATTTGCGCTATAATTAACTTTGCGTCTTCAAAAGCTTCTTTGTTGGGGTGTGAGCTGCTAATCCTGAAGCTCTTCTGCTTTTCTTCTGGCTCAGGACTGAGGTGACACTGCCGGAGCTCAGAGATCTCCATACAGATTTTGGCAAGCTCCCAGCTTGCAGCAAAGAAACCCCTGGCCCCATTGGTAAGTGCTGCATGGCAATCCCTGGGGTTGTGAAATGTCGTTAGCCTAAATAGCACTAGCTGGCATCTCCTGGGATCCCATCGATGGTGCCTCTCCACCCTGGAGCTGCTCAGTGCCGGCGCTTTCTTGGCATGCGAGGTCCTGAGCAGATGAGCAGGGAGCCAGGGAGCAGCAGGAGCCTGTACCCCCGGAGCTGCAGGAGCCATCAGCAGTCTTCCCTTGGTTCCTGGGGGCAAGCTTTTTGTCCATCATTGTATCCACAAAAGCTGAGCAGGAGCTTCATGGACCATGAGGATGTGCTGCGGATCCTGCTCAGAGCGAGAGAGGTCACAAACCTGGAAAGCTGGCGTTGCTGCTCCAGGAACAGGACTTTGGCCGAAATCACAGCCCCTGTTGTAGCAGCATTTGCAAAGCTGGATGGTCCTGAAATAAGGCAAGTGGTGCTGCTCAGTGGGCAGACGGGCTGCTGCAGCCAGAGAAGGGCTGCAGGCAGCGTAACAGGAGTGTGTGAAGCTGTGGTCTCCAGTGATGCTGAAGGTCCCTTCCCATCGCTCCCGGCTGGCTGGCTCAGCGTGGGGCGGTACTTGGCACCACTGTTTAATAAGAAAAAACCAACGCTATATCACTGCATTGGCAAATAAGGGGAAAAAATATAATAACCGAAGCCAGTGCCTCTAAAAAGTTGTCAGACTGACATCTGAAGAGTGACATCATGGGGTTTTGCCTGTCGTCTTCTCATCGTGGTGGCCCCTGGGTGCATCTGTATCATCAGCTCTTGCAGGGAGACTCCAACCTGCAGCTGTACCCATGGCTGCAGGTGCTCTCAGCCTCTCCGAGCGGTGTCTAATCCCATTTCCTGACCCCTGGATCAGTCCATTTCTGTCCCTCCTTCCCCTGCCCAGCTCTGTCCCAGGTCTTTCCATCCTTAGGACAGGGATGGGGAATTTCTCTCCAGGCTGCAGCAGCCCTGTGTCTTCCCAAGTCGGGGGGTGTTTCTGCCTGCAAAACCCCTGCTGTTAATTTGCCTACCTGATCGTGAACCCTTGCAAATATCGTGCAGCGGGTTACACCATTTGCTGATGCTTCTTTGTCCTGAATCTGCTTCCTAATTGCTTCACTTGGTGCCATTGAGCACTTGTACAGGGAAAGATAGTTTCCACTCCATATAACTGAGTGTTGCTGTTTCTGTGTTGCCTTTACCTTTTCTTCACCATCAGAAAGGGAAAAAAAAAAATCAACAGTGCTCCCTCTGACTTGAATGCTTCCTTTAAAGGCTCTGGGGTGTTCTTACTTGGAGTTGTCCTTCGTTCCTGGAAACACAGACTGGTGACTTCAGCTGCACCCTTCCCTCTGTGCTCAGCCTCCAGCAGTGTCTCAGCTTGTTGCAAACTGAATTTTTCTGTTCTCTTGGATCTTTCTCCAAACGCTGTATCCCAGGGAATGCTTCATCTTGCATTTCAGATCTTGCTGCCTTGCCTAAAAAGGGCTCGTGCAAGACCTGGTTTCAGTGCTGAGCATCACATTCTCAAGGCTTCTGAGCATAGCATCCTCGGCCGGCTCTTATTTTCCAGCTGTTTGTTCTGTTTCTCTTTGCTTATCCTGTGCATAGCAATACCAGATAGGAAAAGAAAAAGGAAAAAAATTGGTTTTGGACTGTTCAGTCTGCCTCCTGTTCAGGCATGATAGTGAAGACTGAGGCACAGCACTTGCCCAGCACAATTTGGCTGGACTCATTTGGTGCTCACATCGCATTGTGTGAGCAGATCATTGATGCTGTGGCTTTAGCCATCTCAGCACAGAAATGCCAAGCCTGGTGACCACTGACTTGTCCTGTAGCATAAAGCTCCCCCAAATTAATATAAAAATCAACTCTTTTAAAGCCAGAGCACTCCATTGCAAATGTTGCTTAGTGCTTATTAAAGTGGGGTGTGTCTCAGCTTTAGGGGAGCTCAGCCCTGGTAGGATGCTCGGGTGCAAGCTTGGGTAATAGCAGGGAAAATGCAGTGTAGGATGTGGGACACAGCATTCCCAGTACAGCAGAGGAGAAAGGCATGGACAGGTGATGGACAGATATTTGGGTTATAATAGAAGAGTTTTCTTCAGGGGTGGGAATAAGGTGCCAGTGCAGATGGGAAGGGAGAGCTGGAGGTCACCAGAATGGCAGAGATGAGCTGCATGGAGCATTTACCCATGTAACACTCAATATAGTTAAACTCCTGGGTTTATACAATATTTCACTTGCGTGAGTGCTCAGAGTGTCGTTTTCAGAGACGGCTTTTGAAATTGCACGAGGGAAACTTGAAGAATTTGGGGGATGCCAAGCGACCACCAGCCTCCCAAAACCCACCAGCTGGGCTGATCCCACTGCAGCAGGTCCCGCTGGTACGGGGGACCGGGAGCTGCTGAATCCGTGTCACCTGGGGATGGCGCCTGGAGGAATCCAGCATAACGTCGCCAAGGATGAGCAACTGGAAAATGGAGAAAAGCAGAGACGAGGAGCTCTGGGAGGGTATTTTTTTTTTTTAATAGGCTGGGGGAAAGCAGGTTTCAGGATGAGAACAATTTGTCCTAGGGCAGAAGTTAGTTTTTCTGCCACTAGTTTCCTAAATTCCAACCTCCTTGGGTTTTGTTTTTTTCGTATAGGGGCAATGAAGTGTGACAAGACAGCAAGATGTGGACCTGGCCTTGTGGAGCACTCCCAGCCAGCCAAGCATCCTGCATCCTGGTAGCAGAGCTCCGGCTGACACAGGGCATCATATCCAATGCTCCCTGTAAGAGCCGCAGGTCGGGCAGCAAAGACCTGGGGACCAGGGACTGTCACAGGGTCCAGGCATCAGTTCTGTGCTGCAGCATCTTCAAGGGAGCAGGAAAAGAGCTGCGATGATGAAATGTATTCCTTATCTTTCTTCTGGTTTAAACTCTGTTCCCTGGCTCGCCCCTTCCCCTCCCACGTCCCAGGATTTCAACCTCTGCTAGTCGCGCTTGGGATTACTACGTCGGATGTCTGGGCTGTATTCCCATCATGTGGAGCTGACCTAAGAGATGGGAATTGGTTAAAATCCTACCAAAACCAGGCTCATTTGTACGTCCTTATTTCTGCTTGCACTGAAGCAGTAACCTTCCCTGCCTGTCATAGCTCCAGACGGGGCTGTTAGCAGAAGCTGGCGCTGCTGCCAAAAGTCTTCTCCCCACCAAGAGCCCCCCATGGGAGCTCATGTGGCCAGGGGTGATGATCTTGCTGGAAACTAACCTAGAGCATAAAACAAGTTTTAGTCTGGATCAGTTCCCTGCCTCGGTTTGTCCCAGGTCACTAAGGACCATGGCTGGACCCTTATTTATTTTGACTTGCTTACTGGAGCAGAAATAAAGCTCGAGGAGATACACGCAAGTCAGAAGTGAACTGCAAGTCTTTTCTTGGAGTTGGAAGGGTTTTCTTTCACACTGGGGTATGCTAATCCAGGTAAGCAATTGCACTGTAAGTATTTTCTGCTGTTCGTTTGCCCAGTGGTAGACTCTGCTCTGTTACGTTGCACTTTTGGCTTTCACGAGCAGCTTTGCAGAATAATAAATCTGGGTTAAAGCAAACTTGTTCAGTCTCCTCTCCTTTTTTTAAATAAGAGAGCAGAATTGCTGCATAGTGTGTGTTTGTGCACCTTTTCATCCTGAAAAGTGTCAGCTGTAAAATAATAGATGTTTTTTACAGTTAATATGGATGTGACGGAAGGATTTTGAGATTAAATTGGTATGTGCCCAAAGGTCCTGAGCATTGCTGCTGCTGCACCTCACATGCAAGAGCTCCCAGGGCTGCAGCAGAGCCGCATGTCTCCTCCAGCAATGCTGCGGCTTTGACTCGCTGCAGATCTGAAGTTGGATGGTTAGAAAATGCTGCTTGGCTGGCACATTAACTCATGTTAACATAGAGCAGCTGTCTTGGCTCTAGCACTTGCGATAGCCAGGTTTCCGAAAAACAGATGTTTTTTTCTGTATAAAGATGTTCTCCAGTCCTGCGCATGCGTTGCCCGTCCCTGCTGAGAATCATGGCCGGCACATGCGGTTCCTGCTGCAAGGGTGGGCTGGTGTGGATCTGTCCTCACTGCTCTTATCTTGGACCCTCAAAAAGGAGAATGTGCAGGAGAGTCCATGAAAATGGAGCCAGAGCCTTGGTTCCCTTGTGGGCTGTTTATTGGGGGGGTCTAGAGGTTGGACCCATAATGAAGCAGGCACTGTTGGTTTAGAGTGGGGTCAATGTGATGACCGAATTTACTGCACTGACCTATGCTAGTGGGGGTGCAGGAACGGGACTAGGCAGGTCTCTGGAGGATGCCCATCATGCGTGGCCATAAAATTGTGGGGGACCCATGGGAACAAGCTGGGGGAGAGGAGGGGGATGCTGGAGGCAGAGGGATGCTGGAGCCAGGCTGCCCAGGAGCTACCTGTGCCCACCATGGTGCCTACTCAGGTTTGCTGGCTGTGAAACAGTTAAAGAAGTTACTTCATCCCCCCCGTGGGTTCATCCGTTTCCTCTCAGCATCCCCTCAGCACCAGCAGTGCCCTCCCTGCCTCCTCGTGCTGTCTGTGGTTTCTTTGGGGAGCTGCAGCACAAGTCAGTGATAGTGCAGCAGTGCCTGGCAGTGCCACCCGTGGTGTCGGTGGCTTTTTCTGACCATCCACCACCACCTCAGCCTCTGCTTAGAGCCAAGACCCAGCTGAGTATCTCCTCCCAGGGCAGTGCTGATGCCAGTTGCCTCCTTCTTCTGCAGGTGGTGGTGCAGCTCACCGATGACCTCCTGTCCCAGGCAGTGATGATGGTGGAGGACAGCCGGCCAACGTTGGCCATCAACCTGGCCGGAGCCCGGCAGCACTGGCTGGAGGGGATGCTGCGCCACGAGATAGGTCAGCAGGGTGACAGTGGGGCAGAGCGGGGGGATGCTGTGAGCATCCTCTGATTGTCACTGGGGTAACAGCCTGGGGGCTGCAGGAACCACAGGGCAAGGTGATACCCACCAGGTCCTGCAAGGGCATCCTGGGCAGGGGGGTGCTCCTGGGCAGGTTTCGGAAGGGGCTGAGGCCACCTGGGTCCCTCTCCACGTGCGGGCCAGGTAGTGTCGGGCACCCACCCATGCACTCCTGTGCCTGCCTCCCCCGCCCCGGGCACCAGAGCAAGCAGATGTCCCATGGCACCAAGACTAGAGCTGGTACCTGTGGGTGCTGGGTCTCAGCCCCAACCCCAGTGACTTGGGGGACTGGGGGTCAAGCTTTTTGGAGGCTGCGGCCAACGGTGCTCGCTCCCATCCCCCCTCCCCAGGCACCCACTACATCCGGGGGGTGAACAACACCCGCCAGCCCTGGCACAGCTCTGAGGGCCGCAAGCAGTACAGCCTGAAGCCCGCCAACCCCACGGAGGAAGGCTTGGCCAGCCTGCACAGCGTCCTCTTCCGCAAGCAGCCCTTCCTGTGGCGGGCAGCCCTGCCCCACTACACCATCGAGCGGGCCAGCCGCCTCTCCTTCTCCGCCCTCTTCCAGGACCTGGAGCAGTACGTCCAGGATGCCGGCATCCGGTGGGAGTACTGCGTGCGGGCGAAGCGGGGCCAGACTGATACCTCGCAGCCAGGTACTGCTCGGGAGGTGAAAAGCCCTTGGGTTTTGGAAGGGTTTTTTGTTTTTTTGGTTTTTTTTTTAAGAAAAACAGAGGCAGGTATGTTTTGCTGCTGGGTGGGCTGAGCATCACTGATGCCATTGCCACAGCAGCCTTTGAAATAGTGGCTCTGCCCACCAGCCCCAGCTTCCCTACCCATTCCTGGCACTGCTCTGCTACAGATTTAGCCTTGTCTTTAAGGCAGTGATCTTTTACATGCAGCCTTGGCACATCAGCTCTTTGGCTGCTCAGGGTCAGGTGGGGATGGATGGGCACCCTCTGCAGGGAGACCCATAAGGTGGTTGCAGTCTGATGGGAGCGACTCGTACAAGCTCCTGGAGAGGCAGCAGCCAAAGGAGAGGAAAAAAATTAGCATTTTGGGGGATGTATTTAGATTCTTGCAGTGGTTTACCATTTAAAAAGAAAATAAATCCATCAGGAAGAAGGGTGAAAGCATCCCAGTGAGACGTTTGTCATGCCCCCCCCTCCCAGCCCAGGACTTTTGCTGCACCTGGCCGCCTCTGCGGTTCCCAGCACTGCTCCCCAGCGCTTGGGGCGCTCATCCTTTGGGATGCAGCAGTCCCGGCCGCAGCACCAGCAATGCCTGAGCCCTGGCACACTCATGTCACACCAGTCCAGCACCATCACTCTAATTATTGTGGTCAGCAGACATTCGGGTGAGTGGAGGGCGGTGGGGATCCAGGCTCCCGCTCCCCAGCCCCTCCTGCTCTTCCAGGCTGTTTCAGTAAGGACCAGGTCTACCTGGATGGGATTCTCCGCATCCTGCGCCATCGGCAGACCATCGACTTCCCGCTGCTGGCTGCACTTGGAAAGGTAACGGCTGGGGAGGAGCAACTGATCCCAGAGCCCCATCCCATCCCAAAGCTCACATGGGCTCCCACGGTCCCATGTTTTCCTGAAAACAAGCCCTTGGCTGGAAGCCCTTCAGCTCTTTGCCTTTCCCTATGTGTATAGGTTTCAGTGGAGCAGGGGAAGGCACGGATGCAAGGAAGGATGGGACAATCCGTCCTCCTCTGTGGGAGACCCTTAGGGAGAGGGTTAACCCAGCAGGTTAAGCTCTGCTGGCCATGCTCCTGGCCCTCTGTCTTGGCCACACTGGTCCTGCTGTCCCCTCTCCCTGCAGCAACAGAAAAATGACCAAAACCGCAAATCCTTGCAAATGCCTCCCTGAGCAGCTCTGCCGTCGCCTCCCCGCAGGCAAGAAGGGGTGTTTGGGCAGGGGGTGGGTGACTCAAATGGGTTGCCCAGGAGCCAGACCCCCTCCTTGGATTGGGGAGGCGGGTGCTGACCCCATCTCCCTGCTTCCCATTAGGTCTCCTATGAAGATGTGAATCGGCTGAAGAAATTTGGGGTCCTGGAGAAGGCCCGCATCCCCCATTTCATGCAGGACCTGGAACGGTACATGAAGCAGCTGGACCACATCGTCACCACCAATGGCCTGAATGAGGAGGAGCTGGAGCAGCTGCTGCCCGACTGAGGGGCGTCCCCCCAAATTGGGGCCCCAAGGGTGTAACTGGTGCTGTTTATTCGATATTTATTGGGGCTGGAGCCTGGAGGAGAGGGCAGAGCCTGGGCCTCCTCCCCTGCGCCCGGGTGGCCGCTCTGCATGTACTGCTGTGTAGGGTAGCGTAGCTGAGAGGGCCGGTGTGGTTAGTGTTGATGTGTTCCCCCCCCACACTGTCCACTGTGCGTTTTGGGGACGGCTGCGTGGCTCCCTCCGCGTGGCTTTGGGGAGCCAGAGAAGAGGGTTCAGAGGGAGGGAGGGCAGAGCTGGGGAGATGCACTGGTCCCCCATAGGTGCAGGAGGCTGTGCTGGGGTAGCTGCAATGGGGGGGGGATGCCCTTAGGGTACCGGGGGCGCTGCCAGCAGCGTGGGGGCACCTGCTCGGGGCCAGCCAGTGGGGCTGGGGGCTCTGGCCTGTGCCTGGCAGCCCTGGCAGGGAATAAGGGCTGCCCCATGTATGCGTTTCCCACTCCCTGCCCATTCCCTCATGCCCCCCACCAGAAGCAGGAAGGACTTTAATCCCCCAAATACCAACCTCTGCTCTCCCCTCCCTCATAGATACTTGCCCACAGTTAACCATTGCTCTGCACCCCAACTACAGCCTGGCTCTGAGGCACAGGAGGACTCAAGGTGGGGATCAGGCTTGATGTAAGGAAAAAGTGTGTAATAAAGATGATGTAATGGAAATAATGTGTGGGCAAAAGGTTGTGGATAGCATCAAAAGCCAGGCTGGCACTGCTGTGAACACTCGCACAGGCAAAGCTGCATGGCTCCAAGCTGGTGCGTCAGGAGCAGGAAGGGGTCACCGGAGTGTGTAGAACAACATACCGGGCAGGGACAACATTAATAAATCAAAGTAGGCAAAAGCAGAAGCTGCCCTGAGCTGTTCCTGGTCTCTTAACACATGGTCTCTGCAGCAGCCATAGCACCCCGGCTGTGCCACCCCAGGAGAGTTGCTTTAAAAGAAAGAAAAAAAAAACCCCACAGATTTAGTTTTGGCTTCTTTTAGCTGTAGCCTTTCATCCCACTGAACTGCGAAGGCAGCACAGGCCAGTTTGTGGCTCCAGCGAGCCCAGGCTCAAACCCAAGAGCTCCAAGTTTGGCTGCAAGCCCCATTCACAGCACCCCCAGCTGCTCCACACTCCTGCTCTCTGCAGGGCGCAGATGCTCCGACAGGCAGGGCAGCATAGCACAAGCTTGGGAAGGGATGAGACCACTTGTCTTGGGCAATTTTGCTTCCCTCTGGTCCAGGTCTCCAAGAATACGCTGGCATTTTTAACAGCTCCCCTCTGCGAGCACCCCTGCATGAACACACTGCCAGGACAGTCAATTTGACTCTGCTCTTTAATGTACTATTTCCGCCAACCTTGCAATCCCCAACCTCGAACGCAATACAGCGCTGCTTTAAAAAAGTATTTACACACATCCCAGCATCACCCCCCTTGTCATCCCAAGGAGCAAGGCCTCAACTGGTGCTAAGAACCAACCAAGGGAAGTCTCTTGCGGCCTTTCTAGCGGAATGGCAGCAATGACAGAGGGCAACATAGCTACTGCGATGGTTTTGGATTGGTTTCGGTTGCATCCCTGATGAAATAACAGCATGGAGATGAGAGACAGCATTAATCTATCTCCCCAGCCAGGGCTAGAAGCGCTTCATCTGGCGGCGTTCTTGTCGGCGTTGCTTCTTCTCATTTGGTTCCTGACCGGCGGGCGAAGAGTCAGCTGTAAACCAGGGCCCCAGGATGTTCACCCACAGGAGGTAGAGAGCACGTCCAGGAGCCTGCAAAACACATGTGGCACAAACTTGGTCACTTTGGGGACAGCTCTGGCAGGGGTGGCGTGACAGTCAGGACGGCTGGTCCTATTGAGGAAGCCAGAGGAGCTGCAATATCTCTACAGGCTGCCTCGGGGGCATCACAGGATGCACAGAAATCAAAAGCAGTGGCAAGCGTCCAAAATAAATGGCCTGATTTCATATGGTTTAGGAACTTGCATACATATACAGCACTTAGGCTTCATATATGGAAATCACAGCATCAGGTCTGAATTACCCAGAAAGATCCAACTGCTCAGACATTCTGCCTCTCCCTCCTTCAGAAAAAACACCCACATTTCTCTGAATTAAAAAAAAAAAAGTGATCCAGATGGTCCCCAGGGGATAGTCAGGGTCTAGGCTGCCCTCTGCCAGGCCAACTAGAAAGGAACTTGGGCGTAAGGACTGAAATGAGGTAACTTTCTATGCTCCCAAGATTGCCTTTTATACCTTTGTGAGATATACTCAAAACAACTGTGGGATTTTTTAACTAACTGGAGATTTTTTATCCTTTTGCAAAAGCAGTTTTAGCTGGAGGCACATGACAAATGTTTCAGGAGTAGAAAGAGTCTGGTGTGTTAAGGGGAAATCAAAGCCTACAGCGTTTGATCTACCAAGCAGCACAGTGTCCAGCAGTTCCCAGCCTCAGTCCGTGCTGGTGAATGACTGAGAAAACGAAACAAGAAGAAGCACAGTCTGTTTGCCACAGTCACAAAAAGGCTCTGCGCACAAAGATGGCTTTGATCTGCCTCATGTTTCTTGTTGCCCTTTCCCAGGATGAGAGAGAAAGACCAAGGCCAGCCTAGTTTTTGTGGGGTTGACCCAGAGGGATCAGGCCTTCTTTCCCTTGTACGGCCTAACTTTTAACAAGATTTAACAGGGAGATTAAAAAAATTTATCAGAATAGTTTGGGCATGAAACAGGACACTGAAATGAAATGGATAAATGATGTGCTCAGTCCTGAAGACAGGGAAAGACAGGGACAATGTAGAGCAACAAGGAAAACCGCAGGGGCTTACCAAGAGCCAGAAGTACCAGACGTAGAGCGAGAAGCAGCTCAACACTTGGACCATAGCTGTCAGCAGGATCACATCCTTGAGGTGCCTGAGGGAAGAAAAGCAAAACATTAACCTCCTGTTCCAGCCCCTGCTGCACACACCAGCTCCTCTGCCAACACAGCCCGTTTGCACCACCTCCAGGGAGTGACCCTGCCTGCTCTGACAGAAGGACTGTCCCTGCAGCTATGCTTTGCCACACAAGGTAATCTAGAAGAATCAGAGCAGTAAACAAAAAAAAAAAAATCTGATGAGTTAAAGAGCTAGGCTCCCTCTGAAAAGGGAGATTGAGAAAGCTGAGAAATGCAGGGGGGTGGAAATCAGCAGCAAAACCACCACCCCCGCAGCCCGGAACAGCAGCCAGCACCCGCTGATTTGACACAGATCACACATAAAGTACAGCTGCTCACAGCTGGCTGCAGTAGGGGAAGCACAGATCTTCCCTGTGCCATTGCACAGGCTGACAGACATGCTCAGGGTCACCAAAGGGCTGGGGTGCCGCAAGGACAAGCACACCATCACCCGCAAGCCGAGCTACAGCAACAGATGGCTCCGGCTCCCCCTCCCCTCCTGCTTATGCAACTGTGGGCTCTTCCACGGCAGCCTGAGGCAGAGCTGAGAGCAGCTATGGACAGGGACAAGCGGCCCACACCTCAACCACCACCCTTGGGGGGACCTGACACCCAGGAGAGGTAAAAAGATATTGTTTTTTTAACACAAGCCACGGGGAGTGCCACAATGGGTTAGAAAAACACCAGCTTCTTCACTCCCATTAAATCATTATCTGCTGGAGTAAGAAATGCGTGGGTCGTATCCAAGAATGGAGTTGAGAAAACAAAGGCAGAGGTAATGGTAATGAAACAGCTTGTCTCATTCTGGGTTTGCAGCACAGCGCAAAACAAAGTGGCCAGAAACAACTGCTTTTGGTTTGGACACCATTATCAACTCAAAACACTGTGGAATCCATCCAACAGCTCTATGATGAGACACTGAGGTTCAGAAATCTCACGCATCACCGGAGGCCCCAGAGCGGTGGTGGCAGAGCTCCCACCGAACCCAGCTTTCCCAGCTCTCCCAGGGACCAGCACAATCAGCCTTCCTCAACCCCAAAGCAACACACAGCATGATTCCAGTACAGACAGCACAAGGGAAATGCCATCAAATCCACAGCCTTCCAGAAGCAGCTCCGAAAGAGGACTCATTCATCAGCTGTGGCACACTCAGCTGAGAGGCAGGAAAACACCCACTGCTTTCTGAAAGGAACTGCTAGCCTAGAGTGGTTCCCCGATCCCCAAAGCGGTAGTTTAGAGCGCTTCACCTGACAAACGGACAGAGTCAGTGGGAGGAGCACTTTGTGTTCACATACCAACAGGTTTAAACTAACGAGACTTGCACCCTCACGGCTGAGGGCTCTGCACAGCCTCAGGTACAAAGGCACAGGGTAAGGACAGGAACTTCAGCTGTGCACGTTTTGCTTTTACAGCTCTGCTGCTGAGCTGTGCCGTGTTTTGCACGGCCCGTGCCTCAGACAAGCATCAATTAATTTTAATGTCTCATAAAACTCACCCCAAGGGTGTATTGCTCAGGCAGAAAAACCTGCGAGCCCCAGTACCAAGGGAAGTACCACATCTGCAACCAGGGCTGCAGCAGTGCTGCAACTGCGCTCATCACCTTTTCGCAGCAGGTAACGGGACCCCTGTAACAACACCTCTCAGTCATTTCCCCTGACAGCACCATCGCACCCATGCATGGGGCAGTTATCAGGGCACCCACTCTGCTTCGGTGCCTTACACATCTCCCAAGAGCATGTCTCACAGCTAGGAGGATACCCCAGATGGCATCAAACTTCTTTATCTTCCTTACTTGACTGTCCCGTGTTGTGTTTCACAAAAAACACGTCCAAAATATTTTATGCTTCTACTCTGGAGCGCCAAAACAGTGTGAAACAAGACAAAAACGTTTGGCTGACCAGCAGGAAAAAGGAGTCACTATAAGATGAAGAGGGTGTAAAGCACTCAGCTCATTAATCACACTAGAAATAACCCCCTCTCGTCCTGGCCACCTCATCCCTTGGCTGAGTCTCTTACACCAGACACCCGAGTCATTCTGGCTGCACATCAAAAACGTACAACCCCACTAGCAAACACACAAGATGAGAGCTCATCCTGTGCAGAGACAGCAGGTTCTGTGCCACACAAGTGGGTCTGCCTGCTGGTAACATCCCCGGGCATCTGCTGGCTGCAGAAATAAAACTTCTGTTAAGAAAAATATATAAACCCGCTCACGGCCCTTCAGCACGAGAACACTTGATGTGATGCAGAGGGCTCTGCCAGAAACAAGGCCCCACTGTGTTTCTTCAGAAGCCTGGCAGCAAGTGAAAGACAGAGGCAAACCTTAAACTGTAGGACAAGGACGTGGGAGGGAAGGGGCCAAGCACCCCGGGTACCTAACTGAGCGCACGGTGAAGATCCCCAGCAAAAGCTGGACCAACAGGCAGAGGCTGAGGGCAGGGAGGACAGCGAACAAAGCCTGGCATGTCCACGACTGCCCAGCAGTTTTCTGTAACTAGTTTAAGGCTCGCTGTTGGAAAACATATAAATCTAGAAGATATTTCTGCTGTTTCAGTACTGTTGTCCCCTTATTTTATTTAACAGCACTTTGCAGGAATTACTGTTGTGTGTTCCTTGACCGAGGAAAAGAGATTTACAGCACCACCAAGAACACTGGACAGGCAAACGCCTGGCACTGTCTGCAGACAGACAGAGGGAATGCACAAGCACAGGGGGCAGAAAAGGCTGAGGAGTGAGAGGAACTGGCTAAGGCAGCAGGGAGGTTTTTTAGCATGTAGAACAGTTCAAGACAAGGCCAGTTTGCAGCCGAGATGGGGTAACTGGCAGTGCGTGCCCTTTAAGCAATACCTGCAGTGCCGGTTTAAAAAGAAAATATAAATCTCTGTGTGTTGCAGAAGCGCGCACAGTGTCAGCGCTGTCTCTTCACTGAAAGACGGCTGAAAGCTGCTCTGGCCAAACCGTTTGGGATCCCCTACCTGTGCACCTCAGCCCTAAGGACAGTGACCATTCCAGGCTGACACACCCACGTAGCAGCTCGTGACTAGTGCACGCAGGGCTGAGCATTCAGATAGCGAGATCAGTTTAGGTACTTTCTTGGAAAAAATGGCTACAGGCTTCCAGCTCCCCTCATGCCTGCGCCAGTGGGCAAACTGAGGTGGGAGCTGAGGTCTGGCCTTCTCCTTCAGGGGCTCTCCTGGCTCTGCGTGCACGCTCAGGCAGCAGGTCCTGCTCACCTGGACTCGTGCGGGTGTGGACACTCACTCTGCCATCCCCTGCTCCATATTCAGGTCAATTCCCCCGTCGGCGAGGCTGCCATCATCTGTGAAAGATGGCTTTGCCATGGAGTTCATGGACCGGTAGCTGGTACCGTAGACCACCAAGCTGAAGACGAATGCTAGCTGCAACAAGGAAACAGCCGTCAGCCGCACAAGCCACCGGACAGAGCGGCAGGGGTCTGCTGGCCTTGCCTGTCGCGACAACTGGGAAAGGACCGGGCGCTCACCCACGTCCAGGCGGAGGCGGCGGAGTAGAAGATCACCAGGTTCACCACGGCGTAGACGGCCTGCGGAGAGAGCACGGCACGGCTGTCTGCCCGGCCCGGCCCGGCCCGGCCCTCCCCACCGGCTCAGCCCCGCGCCCCGCCGGGGCCCTCCCCGGCCGCACTCACGGAGGCCCCCAGGATGATGCGGAGG